AACCAATTCGAATTTAAATTCGAAAATTTTTAAAATCGAAATGGAAAATCTTCCACTTTCAACCACTTTCAAGCCCATATCTCCCGCACCATTATAACTATCGAGACTCAACCACCATAGTGCACGAACGGAGACTTGGGTCTACTACCACATACAAACACCATTCATGTGCCATGTGTAGTTTTGGCTGAAAAGCGAAATATAGGGACACACACGTCCATTTATATATATATATACTAGCTGTTACCAGCGACTTCGCCCGCGAAAATTTTGCAAGCAAACCACATTTATATTCAGTATTTCAACAACCATAGTAATTGTTATATAACACCTACCGCCGAGAATGATGAAAATTGTCGAGAATCAAACGAACTATTTTCAATTTGATCAATTTTCTGGAACGTTTACAATCGTTCTATAATCGAAGCAATGTGCAATAACAAATTCGGATTTAAAACGGTTCGAACATTTGGTTAAAAAATCGAAATATATCAAAATATTTATAACAATACCTGAAATGTTATTAATTTAATACTCCTAAGTACTCAATGAAGACTAAACGTAATTAAAAACAAAAAAAAAATCGCATCTAAACTAGTACAGTAGAAGCCGTTTTTCAGGTTAAGCCTTAAACCTTTCCCTCTCCCCCACTGGAGAATTTCGAAAAATCCCTTCTTAGTGTGCATTCCCATAACATGCCCTACTAAAACGCAGATAAAAACAAAAATCGCATCTAAAATAGTACAGTAGAAGCTGTTTTTCCAGTTAAGCCCTAATCCTCTCCCACTCCCCCAGCGGAGGAATTTCGAAAAATCCCTTCTTAGTGTGCATTGCCATGGCATACCCTACTAAAATGCAGATAAAAACAAAAATCGCATCTAAAATAGTACAGTAGAAGCCGTTTTTCCGGTTAAGCCTTAATCCTCTCCCCCTCCCCCCGCGGAGGAATTTCGAAAAATCCCTTCTTAGTGTGCATTGCCATGGCATACCCTACTAAAATGCAGATAAAAACAAAAATCGCATCTAAAATAGTACAGTAGAAGCCGTTTTTCCGGTTAAGCCTTAAT